TATGATAGTCTAACAACCTAACCACTATACTAAGATCACCAGACTTACAGCTATATAGCTATATCTGGTAATAGTACAAATACTTCTATATATATTCTAAATAATATCATTGAAGACTCTTACTGTAACAAAAAAGAGTTATGGCTCTTGTTCTAGAATATGAGCAAAGCTTATGACTCAGTTAACTTAGACCTTCTTAAACTAGCTCTTGAATATATTCAATTTCTACTCTAACTATATAATATTATAAATAACCTGTTAACTAATCATACAAACAGAGTTATCACAAATTTAGGATTAACTAATTCTTATAATATTAATAATAGCATTAACCAAGAAGAAACAATTACTTCTTCACTATGGCATATCTATTACAACCTCTTATTAACAAAATTTCTATCTTCTAATAAGGCTATACAATATCTGCAATTTGCAGAGATTCTATAATTACTCACAGAAACTATAAACTAAAAGCATCAACTTCTGTCTTAGTCTAAATGAATAATACACTCTGGATTACAAATTTAAAGCCAAACCTGGAATTAATAACACAGGTTACAACAACTTTTTACCAAATAGCTAATATTCAAATCAACTCTCTCAAATCTGTTTTTACTACAAACTCCAAAAAGCTCTCACATCTAAACTTTATTAACTCTTCTTTACAACTACAACAATCTAATATTCTATTTAAATTTCTTGGATATTGGTTTACTCTAGATAGCAAACAAACAAAACAAACCAAGCTTATTACTAATAAAATATCTAATTTAACTAATACACTTAGAACTAAACATATAACTGATAAGCAAGTCTACTATATCATCAACTCTGTAATAATACCTATCCTTGAATACTGCATATATAATATCACCTTTTTCCAAACAAAATATAACAAGCTTCTCAGCTCCTACCTTACTATTGCTAAACACAAATCTAACTTAGTATTAACAACTCCTAACAGTACTCTACTTAATTATAATATTTATAATATCAAAAATATCTGAAATATCTAACTTCAGTACCATATCTCCAACTTCTTGATTAGACTTTATGATACTGAACTCCTAGGAACTACTATACAAATTAGACTTCAACAACTCCAAAACAATCTATAGTCTACTACTAATATTCTCTAACATCCACAACTTCAAATAGATAGTCCTAATAAAAACTCTACAAATTTCAAAATTATTCTACTTTTTCATTATTTAAATATTCCTATTTCTACTAATATTAATAATAGACAACTAATTACTTGTTCTGATTCATATACACTATTAGAAAAAATTTTCCAATATAATAATTTATACAACTTCTTTAAACACCAACTATGAACTAAACAAATTCTATTTTTAAAACAACTAACTTTTGCTAACAATAATACACTCTTAGAGTAGACTTATATTTCACTAAGATTAAACTACTTACCTAAAAACTATAAACCTACATAGTTTACTACTTTAGAATTTATTATATTAGATAACTCTTCTACTAGACTATCTCAAGCCAACTTCAACTACCACTAAATAATTCTTTAGCTTATACAACTAGTTACTTTAATACAAAAGCTAAACCTTGGCTAATAACTTACTCATTATCTTCATTAGAAATTGTAATGGGCAAAGCCTGATGATTATATCTAAAGAGAAATACTATATCAATAACTTACTGGATACTACAACCTATCTCTAATACTACTAATCTATACCTCTACTCAAATTCAATATGTTTTCCTTGGACTATAAAAAACTCTTTCCCACACATCACAATTTACATATAAAATTTTTTGTACAAGAAAAAGCTAACTGGAAACAACTAACTAAGTAAAAAAATTCTTAAAGAAGTGCAAACACAAACTACTGGAGTGCTAACAAGCACTTCACACAAAACAACACCTACACTAAATAATAATAAACAGCAAAAAAAGAGAGACAGAAATGACAGCAACAAAGAAAACAAACTCGGGAGTATCTCCCAAAAAGAAAACCAAACAACCAAGAAACACCAACAACAACCACAACAAAACAAAATGAGCCAAGTCTACAATACAAACAGACAACGACAAGAAGAAGTTGAAGAAACCGAAATAGATAACAACCAAAACCTCAAGAAGAACAAAAGACGCAAAACTATAGATACACCCCAACCCAATATCAGAATAGAAAATCTAGAAAAAAGTGGGCAGAATAGCTTACCCCCGACAGATTTACACGTGGGAAAAAATAATGATAACAACAACACAACAGTTACTAATTCGGATGATATCACAGTAGCCCAAACTAAATCAGGAGATCTGCAATGTACTAGTGACAACAACAACAAACAGGAAACAACAACTAACAAACTAGATGATGCAATGATTGAAATAGAAATTGACCAAACACCTAACAACCAAACTGGGAATACTAGCAACACAAATACAGAATTAATAAGTACAGGATCACCTCATACTATCACTCCAGATATTGAATCCAACCAAGAAGAAGTAATCAGAGAAAGAAAAAACAAAATAAAGAAAACCTCGTATAGCCAAGCCCTACAGCAAAACCTAGAAAATAGTATGCAACTAGAAACAGATACTGACTACACGATCACTGGCAGCAACATGTAAAAAAAGCAATAGAAAATGCAATAACAAGAGAATTCGATACAGAGACATGGAACTATGACACAATTATCCAGGCCCTCAACACAAACGAAGAAATAAAAAATTTCATAGAATACAAACTTAATACGACAACTACTAATACCCAAATACCTGAAGTAATAAAGAAGAAATTCATCTACAAAGACACAGCTTTCTTCGTAACCTTCACACAAGAGAAGAACTCAATACCAGCACACCAAAAAGAGTTCATAGACCTACAAACAAAGGCAATACAAGTATACAAACAAGCTAATGAAATTACTTTATTGAATAGAAAAGTAAGAGATATGATCCAACTCAAACTACGACAAAAAATCATGATCGACTACTTACTCAATACAAACTTCCAGAAACTCAACAAGTACCAAATATACCAAGAGCTGAAGTATGCAAGAAACTTTATTAAAGCAGAAAAAATTGAAGACTACACTACAACACAAAAAGCAATAGAAGATGCAATAAGCACAAAACTTCAAGAACTCCCTGAGAGTCCAAATTTAATCTCAGAAGAAATACGAAATATCTTGCCATTTGAATTACCAATCAAAAAAAGATCGCAAACAACAGCTATAGTAAATACACTAAGAATCATTTACAACTTCAGCTACCTACCTGAAACATATTTCAAAGAATTACCTTAGCTTCCCAAAACACCTTATGACCTACCAATAGAGATGAAATATGCTTTTCCAATGTGTACTAGAAGTCAACTCCAACAACTTCGCTACCACGTACAGAAACTCCGAGACCATTATAGTTTTGAGCAATTACCCAAAACATATTTTGACCTACCACCACCTAGAGAGGCTCTGCCAGTAACATATCACGAGCTTAACAGCAGAGTTCGCGAAATGTTTCCTGTAGACCTATCAACAGAAGAATACACAATTAAAGAAGTAAAAGACATACTGAAAGAATACTACATCTTCAAGAATATACCTAATGATTACTTCAAACAAAGACCTCTACTACCCAAAGATCCGCAAAAAATTAATCTTAATACCAAATTTATATATCCAATAACAGACAATGAAGAAGCAAGAAAATTCATAAAAATAGCGGAGAAGAAGTACAAAATAAGACTCCCAATTGCAGCAGAAGTTATGACAGCAAACTCTACTAACAAACCATAGCTACCCCATGACCACAAAGAAATTAAAGAATTCAACTTAACCATCCCTATTAACACACCACAATTATTAACTGAAACAGCAAGACTACTCAGAACGGCCTATTATTTTACAAGAATCCCTGATGAGTAAATTGATATTAGACCAAGGCAACACAATACACAAAATCTAACAGAGGAGGAAACAAAGCCTCTGATCCCACCTACACTTGTTAAACTCCAAGAGCATATAGAAAACAAAGAAATTAAACTCCAAATTGAACTACCTATCACTACACAACAAGAAATCACACCTACAATCAACAAGCTTAAAGAACACTTTGAAATACTACAAATACCTAACTACTTATTAAACCTACCAGAACTCCCGGCACCATCCTGGAATATCTTTCAATAATGATAGAAAACAACAGAAGTATTAGCAGAAACAAAAATAATCCACTAAAAAACAACTTAAAAATTATAACTCACAATGTACGTGGTCTAAACAACAATCTAAAAAGACAACTCTGGCTAGAATACTGCAAAGAACAAGATATTGATATAGCCAGTATCACAGAAACAAAATTAGCAGAATCAAAATTCGAAGCACTAGAATTACAAAACCCCTGGTACAAGATATATACTGCAAACAATAATGCAACAAATACAATAGGATGCGAGACAAGCCTTGGTACAGCAATAGCAATAAAACACACCCTCCAACCATATATCCATAATATCCAAACAGAACCAGGCACTACAATTAGTATCGATCTCTTCTTCCCAAATAAGACAAAACTTCGAATCATTTCTGTATATCTACCTTAAGACAAGGCAATAAATATGAAGACCCAAAACCGAATTATCTCTTGGACAGAACAGGCAATAAGCAAAGAGATGATACCAATTATCATGGGTGATTTCAATATAGATCTAAAAAAATACAAACAAAAAACTCAACTAATTATATACCTAGAGAGGATTAATATGCTCCCACTACTCCATACTCTGATACCAAACATATCTACATGGAGCGCGAGAGGATCCAATAGCCAAATAGACGAGATTTGGATTCCTTCAATGCAAATTAATGAATTCACAACACCTCGACTTACTAACGCAATACACATTACAAATAGTGACCACAGTATCATACAAACACAATAGAATACACAAGATAAAATACCGCACATACAACAGAAAAGTACACATAAAAGAAGAATATACAACTATAACGGAATGACAAAAGAAAAATGGGATCACTTTAGCAAGGAGGTAGAACAATTAATAAGTAATACAGCGACCACAAAGCTAGGCAAAAAACATGGGGAAGACACATATCAGCTAAACAAAACATGGAACAAACTCTCCGCAGCAATAATAGAAAGAGCAAAAAAAGATATTCCTAATATAACAAAGAAAATAAACTATTCAATCACCAAAAAATATAACTACCAGGCAACCAAAATACACAAAATTCTTACGAATATTAGATCTGTATTAAGACATATAGAGACAAATATACTACAGATTGACAAAGAGTGGTGCAATCAAAAAATTATCCAAATCAACAAATCAGTTAAAGAAACTATACTAGTAATAGTGAATTCAGAATTACTCACTAACATATTTCAAATACTCCTAAAAGAAAAAAGTGAAATCACTAAAGTTCGCAATACTGAGAACAAAATCAGAAGAACACGGGACATAAAAGAAAAAATACAAAGACGTTACCAAAACTTCTCTGGAAACATATCTAAAATGATCCAAAGTATCCTACAAAAACACACAGACCCTGTAAATATACAGAACATTCGCACTGAAAACGACCTAATCACAGACCCCCTAAAAATTAAAGAAAAGATAAAGGATCACTTCGACAACTGGACAAAATACAACCCTACTAATACAGCATTTTGGCCTGAATGGGAAGAAGAATACAAACAAAAAGAAACTATAAGAAGAAATTGGTATGATGAAACTACTAGACTAATAGATATTACAGAGCTTAAAGAAATCATAAACGAAGTCCCACTTAGTAAAGCAACAAGCCCATCACAAATTTCTAATAAAATGATAAAGCATTTAGGACCCAAAGTACTCAACCTGTTCTTAACGACTTTAAACCTGTATATAAAAACACAGAACATACCAAAAGCATGGAAAAACAGCACAATATACCCAATATCCAAAAGGCCAGTTTTTACAGGGGAACTAGAAATGACAAGACTGATAACACTAATAGAACATGCATGCAAAATCTTGACTAAGATAATAACAAGAAGACTAAATACTATCCTTTCCAAATATGAAATACTGGATCCAACTAACCATGTTGCATTACCTAACACATCTACTGCCACACCAATACAAACACTACAACATATTATAGAAGATGCAAATATAAACAAGAAAAGTCTATGGATATTATCTCAAGATATGAGCAAAGCGTACGACTCCATGCATATTCCTCTACTCAAAAAGGTCCTCGAACAGATCAAAATACCTGAAACTATAACAAACCTGATCATTAATATTCTTTCAATATGGCAAAATAAAATCATCACAACATTTAGCAATACAGACTCATATAACGTGCAAGATAGTATAGACCAAGGAGAGACGATAACTCCACTTCTGTGGAGAGTATATTATGATCCTCTCCTCGCTAATATAAACAGAACCCATAAATCATATACATTAACAACTACCAC